TTCAACAGAATTTCTTTAATCTTCAAAAGCATAAATTTTTCATATTGTGTGAGCTCTGCTTATGAGTACAATTCCTTTGTATTTCTTGTAGGTATGGGCTACCATGTATGCATTCAATTAGACATTTTGAACATTTCAACAGAATTTCTGTATACATCAAATTGTTGAATCTCTTCGTATTGTGTGAGTTCTACATCTGAGTATAATTCCTTTGTATTTCTTTAAGGTATTAGCTACAAGGGATGCCTTTAATGAGTCTATTGGATCATTTCAAGATAATTTCTGTAATCTTTAAACTGATAAATCTCTTCGTAATTTTAGAGCTCTGCATATGAGTATTCCCCCTTTGTATTTCTTTAAGTTATGGGCTACCAGGAATGCATTCAATGAGTGTATTTGGAACATTTCCACAGAATTACTGTATTTTTTAATTTGATAAATCTTTTCGTATTTTGTGAGCTGTGCTTGTGAGTATTCTCTTTTTGTATTTCTTTAAGTTATGGGCTACCAGGAATGATGTGAATAAGTCTATTGGAACATTTCAACAGAATTACTTTATTCTTTAAATTGATAAATATCTTCGTTTTGTGTGACGTCTGCTTGTGAGTAAATTTCCTCTGTATTTCTCTAAGGTATTGTCTACCAGGAATGCATTCAATGAGTCTATCGGATCATTTCAACAGAATTTCTTTATTCTTTAAATTGATAAATCTGTTCGTATTGTGTGAGATCTGCTTATATGTATAATTACTTTGTAATTCTTTTAGATATGAGCTATCAGGAATGCATTCAATGAGTCTATTGGAACATTTCTGTATTCTTTAAATTGATAAACATCTTCGTATTGTGTGACCTCTTCTTGTGAGTATAATTCCTCTGTATTTCTTTAAGGTATTGGCTACCAGGAATGCCATCAATATATCTATTGGACCATTTCATCAGAAATTCTATATTCTTCAGATTGATAAATCTCTTCGTATTCTGTGAGCTCTGCTTTTGAGTAAAATTCTTTTGTATTTCTTTAATGTATCGGCTACCAGGAATGCATTCAATGTGTCTATTGGAAAATTTCAACAGAATTTCTGTATTCTTCAAATTGATAAATCTCTTCTTAACGTGCGAGCTGTACTTGTGAGTATAATTTATTTCTATTTCTTTAAGGTATTTGCTACCAGGTATGACATCAATGACTCTATTGGTTTATTTCAAGAGAATTTCTCTGTCCTTTAAATTGTTCAATCTCTTCGTAATGTGTGAGCTGTGCTTGTGATTATAATTTAATTCTAATTCTTTAATGTATTGGCTACCAGGAATACCTTCAATATGGCTATTGGATCATTTCATCAGAATTTCTGTTTTCTTTAATTGATATACTCTTCGTAATGTATGAACTTTTCTTGTAAATACCATTATTTGTAATTCCATATGGCAATATCTACCCGGCATCCCTTCAATGATATTTTTAGAAGTTTTCAAATTTATTCAAATTGTCTTATTTAAATTGATAAAGATCTTCGTAATAGTGTATGCTGTAAGTTTTATTCTTGTTTAGATTACGAAATACTTTTATTTTTTACTTCTTTTAACTTCATCTATTTTTAATAATTTCTATTATTTTTTTTTTTACTTTTATTTTTATTTTAAAGAAATTTCCTCAGAGATGGATGGAATATTACGGCAATCTCGAAACAATAGTTTCACAGTCTCACGATTTCAACCATCTCTTATTTAAAATAACTAGATAGACACTTGTTTAAATGACTATTAAAGAAAAACAAACTTCATTTTTTTCTGTCGTGCTACCCGTTATTCGTTATTCTATCAAGTCAAACAAAAATAAACAATTACCTGATGTTTGCAAAAAGTTTCAAATCCATGTTTTACACAGCAAAAAACACTCAAATTTCCCGTACAAATTTATAGTTCTCATTGTGTGTGTGTATGTGCGCGTATGTGTGTATCAATGAAAAAGGAAATAGGAAAACTCTAAACACTACCTGTACTGAAACGAAATTATATTACTTACAAATGTAATTTCATATTAATCTTGAAAGAAAAATTATTAAATGTTATAATTATTTCAATTCAATGAACTAATAGCAAATAATATAAAAATATTATAACAAATATCTACATATTGCAAATCACACGGTTTGGTTTGTGGGTTGTGTTTTCGTCTGGTTTTGTGATTTTGCTTTTTTGTTTGCCATTTTTTTTTCATCTTTTCTTTTCCCTTGCGCAGCAGGTGCAATCATTGTGCAAGAGGCAATTGTCCCAGCAACTAGCCTTCAGAAATTCTGATTTTTATTCCCAAAGCGCCGACCTTTGGTATCGACAATTTCTTAAACGTAAGTATAATTTCTTCTTACTTTAAATTACTATTTTTAAAAAAGAAATACTTTTAGTACTTCTTTTGACATTTTTAATTATTTTTAATACAGCTGACAGGATAGTTTGTTTTTTTTTCCGCTCAAAGGTGGATGGAAAATTACGGCATCAACCATCACTTATTTAAAATAACTAGATAGGCACTTGTTTAAATGACTAATTAAATCTTTAAGCACAGGATTTGTTTTATTAGTTATAAACAGGAGTCTTTATAGAAAGTAAATCACCAGTTTTTTTTTTGTTTTTTTTTTTGTTTTGTAAAACAGTTCCCCGTTTCATAGAAAATCTGCTCTAAATTATTAAAAAAAAATGTAAAAAGTCTGACATTATTTAATTAGGAAAGCTTTTACCTGCTTTTGTAAATACGTTATATTTGGGACATTATTTTGTGAAGAAATAATTTTTTTTTCGATAAATAATATATTTTTTATAATTTTTTTTCCATTTTTTAAAATTTTTTTGATTAACTTCTTAATACTTCAAAAATCGTTTAAAATTCTTTATTGCTTTTAAGCACGTAATGCAATGATAACGTTAATGAAAAAGTACATTTACGAATCGAAAATTGAAAATTACATAACAGTCGTTTGGCCCTGAATATTTTTAAAATAACTTTTTTTTTTTAATTTATTGAATTAAAAAATAGATATTACATAATTGCTGAATAAAAATGTTAATATTTTAAGTACTAGTTAAAGACGAAAAACCGCGTTCGCTTACTTCACAGCCATGTTGAAATCCATTTTGACGAGGTTATGACAGTAGTAATCTGTCGTCACCTCGTCAAAATGGATTTCTTTGATAAATTCAGACACATCGTTAACCAAATTATAGTAAATATTATTTAAGGAAAAAGAAATAATTATTTGAGTTTTCCCTTCTGAGTTTATCTAATACTGCTTTTTTCTCATTAATACTAATGTCATAAGATGTTTAGCACTGTAGTAGTAATTTTTAAAAAAACTAAATTTCATGTGTAACAAATTTCAACGTAATAAATTATTATTTTAATAACATTTCTTTATTAGAACTATATTTATTTACATTTTATATATTTTTTAAGATGAATGGAATTAATTCAAATATTACTAATTTTTACAACTTGATAAGGGTGTCTGAAATGACAAAGCAGTTTAGTTTAGTGAATTCTCCCTTCCGAAAATGGCCGACAGTTCTGAACAGTCCTTCGTTTGCCTTCGATGATTACGTCAACCTTCCCTAGTTTTCTCTTCGAAGTTTTTCACATACTGTTTTTTTTTCTAACACTGCTTTTAAAATGTTGCGATCTATTGATTTTAAGATCTCGTATGTATATGTTTTATAAATGATTCCATACTTTTTTTCAATAAAAACTTTTTTCATTTCTTTATTTACTCTTCTGTTAAAAAATGAAAAATTTTGAAAAGTTTGTATTGTTGTGTTGACAGATTCAACCATTTTCTTTTGATTTCTTGATATATTTGTTACTTTATATATACATACATATAAATTTAAACATTAACCTAGAAGGTATGAAAGTAAGGCCCGAAATTTCAGCACCTTTAAAAATAACGTACTCTATGTGTACAATTTCTAACATTGTACACATAGAGTACGTTATTTTTGAAGGTGCTGAAATTTTTAATTTACTATTTGAATACTTTTGGGGTTTGGGCGCCATTTAATTACAATTCATTGCGTCTTGGGATCCTATTTTCAGGGGAGGCAATGTCGACATAAATTAATAAGAGTCACATCTGTCAAATAAAAAATGCAATTTAATTTGCTGATCCTAATACAAAACTAGTTAAAAATTGTCACGTGGTGTTTCCATACACTCAAATATGGCAATAAAGCCGGCCAAGGATAGATATGGCTTTATTGCCATATATGGGCATTTCTATTCTGAGATGATGCAGTTCCTCTTCTTAGATGATGTATTATCTAAGAAGAGAGACATTTCGGCCGATTGGTGATTGGAATTTCGAACTGAACCCTTTATTTTGTCCACTGGGGTAGATTTTTCTAATTATAGTTGGCATGCCTTTTAAGGATGTCTCAGTTATCTTCCCTTAACTCAACACTCCCATTTTTTTTTCGTTTTTTTTTTTTTTTTACTGTAGCCTCTCACCACTGCTGTAGCCTGGTATTGATCACACAATTCTTTGGGTCTAGTCACCAATACCTTTATCCACTGCGCCATGTGTCATTGAGGACATGTGTATAAATTTCTGTGACTTAAAAACCTAATGCCTTATTATCGTTTTTTACTTCTGCTCATATTCCAATATTTCGTTATTACTATTATTATTATTATATTTTTTTTTACCAGAGCTTATATTGCAATTTTGTGTTATTATTCATTGCTTTTCTCTAGCACTCCTTATTACTGGTTCCCATTTTGTATTCATTTCTATACTTGTTAGACTTTATTAATACTTTCACGTTGTGAATATGGCAATGAAGATGAGGATAACAGTCCAAATAATGTAAATAATCATAGTACCTCATATTAGAGATATAGACAGATTTTCACTTCTTTAAATTTTTACTTATACTAGTTATAACGTTCGAACAGTTGTCCTCATCTTTATTGCCATATTCGTGGCGTTTCGACTATAAGTTTTAATTCTATGATATTCTGTTTCTTTCATTTTTTTTATTTCCAGACACAAACTAACGGCGTCATCACACCCCAAAGGGCGAGACACATTGAGTTGAAACGTACCCAGAAAACAGAGACCACACATCAACAGAATGGCACTGTCGTTTTATACTATGTGTCTGTTAGCCATTTTTGCAATGGTACTTTTAATTAACCCGGCATATTTAGCTGTCAGCGATCAAACCCTACAACGTTTTGACATTCCATTTGACCTCATAAAATTCGCCGTCTTTCAAGTCATCGAACGCTTTCTAATGGATATGATCAATTAAATTTCCATGTCTATCTGTCTCTGTATATTTTCAATCAAGATCCATCCAACCAATTTTGACCCAACTTAGAACATAGATAGCAAGAGATATATTCTTAGCATAAAAAATCGATATTTCTTTTTAAATCAATAAAACCGATTAAATATCGATAAATTTAACCTCGATAATTTTCCCTTCGATTTCGTTCAAACTCGATATGTACGTTACGTACATCATGGCGAGCTCAACTATACCTATTTTTTTTATTTCTACGCCACTGCGTTTAGCGAAAAACCGCGAAAAACGAAAAATCGATTTCAACACAAATTTTAAACAAAAACAATCCAATACAATATTCACTCAATTGTAGCCAACAATAAGTTGATTGCTTAACTGTCATTTAACTTAATAATTGAGTCGATTCATATTGTGAAGACCCACTTAAATGGCGAAAAATGGCGATTTTTACTGGTTTCTTTCTTATTTTTCTTTGAGCTCTCAATCAATTTTCAGCAAACTTAACAACTGCTTTAAAAATGTATCCTCTTTTACATCCCTGGTAGCACTCTAACAAAATAAATTTCAAAAATTCCAAAATAATTGTGGTCTGAAGTGGGTCTTCCTGTTGCCTGTTTTACTCTTTCATGTCCTCGGTTAATTTCGATTGATTAAATACAGACGACTTCTCTTATATCAGTAACTGCATCAATTCAAAATATTTTTAATGAAATCTAAACATGATGCTGCTTTTACTCCATTCTAATTGAACGCATTTCTATATCAACCATCCGGATATGACTGCATATGTTCAATTAAATTTACCCTGAATAAAATGTTAAAAAGTTAAAACAATTCTTGTTGAGTTATATATTTAAATTAAAATTAAAAAAATGTGTTAATTCTATTGTATGTGTTTTTATTTGTACAATTCAGAGCAGATTATTTATTATTGTGCTTCGGGTTTTATCAAAACTGTTTGATGATTTAAATCCTGCGAGGAATTGTCCGTATAACAAATATAAATATTTAATGATACAAAAAAAGAATTTCTCGAAATTTCATAAAATTAAATGAGCATGTGTGGTGGTGTTGTATATACCCCTCGTGGGGGACTTCTGGTCATTGCGCCAATTAATACAATGTTATATCCTCTCTCTCTCTTCTGTTGCGGCCGGGTAGTGAAATGTCCTTGTGTCCAGAGGTGAAAGAAATCAACAAAGGAATTTTGAATTCAACTATTTTATTAAACACATATATCTTCTAACTAGACAGTGTATTAACACTGGGAGACGCAGCAGTCACGAAAGAAACACGTTTACATTTTACAACAGCTTAGATTCGACTTTTAGAAAAAAAACTTTTCTCTATCTCAGTCATTGCATCTCTGTAAAAAGAAACTTACCCTATCCACAGTAACGAATCATGGTATATTCACCAATCGATTCGCCATAAAATGATAGTAACATCAAAGGATGAGTAACTTTTGCGACCTTTTATTCTCTGCTGCTTTTGGTATAGCCTTCAAAGTTTGTTCGGACACATTATCTTCCATTTTTTTTTCTTACATTTAGAACAAAAAGAGAAAATATCTTGCCTTCTGGGCGTACGCGTCTTACCCCCAACCTTCGAGGGTTTATGGCTTTCAAGTTGGGAAATTTTGAAATCGACGTGAAGTAAAATATAGAGAGGCGTATATAATTTTTCGTGTGAGTGCCGAAACCCTAGCACCGATCCTTCTTTGTCTTCTTTGTAAATCCTTAAGCCGTCTCAATCCGGGGAAAACTGTTGATGTTCCTGATTAATTATGGGTAATCCTTTTCATTTTTTTTCATAAGAGGAAAAAAGTGATCAAAAGTCGTTATAAAACGAAGCAAACAATCTTGTTCAAATATTTCAAATGAAAAATAAATTCTTCGTTACAATATTCTATTTACGATCATTTATAGTAGATAATCTTTGAATGATTGGATGTTGTGAAGTAGGTTCCTTCGGATCAAATAATATTTTCAGCAATAAATTGAAAATGAACGAATATGTTTTTAGAAAAATAAATCATAAGTCATATCGAACTATTGATACATATTCGATACATTCACTTTTTTTGTTTGTTTGTGTTAGTTTCCCTGTTAACCAAGCATGTCTGTCTGTCTTATCTATCTATCTTTCTTCATATATGCCTGTTACCATGTCAACCAAGCCTATCTCGTAGACGAGGAAGTCCCCTCTCTTTCTCTCCCTCTAGTTTTACGTCGTTCTTTTTTATACAATTCTTAATTCATCCATATCTCTTAAACTCTGGTTACATCTATCTATCTATCTATCTATCTATCTATCTATCTATCTATCTATCTATCTATGTTTTTCCTTGAAACTCTGGAAATATCTATCTTATCTCTTTTCAAATCGTCCACTCTCACTTTTTTATCTCAGTATGTCACTATCTCTCTCTTTCTCTCTCTCTCTCTCTCTCTCTCTCTCTCTCTATATATATATATATATATATATATATATATATATATATATATATATATATATATTTACGACACTCGTTTTATAGCTATCTTAATTTGGTAATATCTCTTAAAATCTGGTGACATCTATCGATCTATGTATCTATCTATCAATATCTATGTGAAGCAACCTTATTCCATTCGTATTGCCTGATAAGATGTAAGTTGCGTACAAAAGTCTTCCTAAAAACTGTTGCCTTGTGGAACCGACTCACAAGAGGATATTTCCCAGATTACTACAATCTTAACCTGTTCAAATCAATTTCCAAGTTGGGAAATTTTCAAGTCAACGTGAAGTAAAGTGTAGAGAGGCGTATATAATTTTTCGTGTGAGTGCCGAAACCCTAGCACCGATCCTTCTTTGCCTTCTTTGTAAATCCTTAAGCCGTATCAATCCGGGGAAAACTGTTGGTGTTCCTGATTAATTAGAGGTAATCCTTTTCATTTTTTTCATAAGAGGAAAAAAGTGATCAAAAGTCGTTATAAAACGAAGCAAACAATCTTGTTCAAATATTTCAAATGAAAAATAAATTCTTCGTTACAATATTCTGTTTACGATCATTTATAATAGATAATCTTTGAATGATTGGATGTTGTGAAGTAGGTTCCTTCGGATCAAATAATATTTTCAGCAATAAATTGAAAATGAACGAATATGTTTTTAGAAAAATAAATCATAAGTCATATCGAACTATTGATACATATTCGATACATTCACTTTTTTGTTTGTTTGTGTTAGTTTCCCTGTTAACCAAGCATGTCTATCTGTCTATCTATCTATCAATCTCATTCTATTAGTATCGCTCTCCCACACACAAACTCTATCTCTATCTCTAATTATTTATCTATGTCTGTATGTATCTATCTATCTTTCTTCATATATGCCTGTTACCATGTCAACCAAGCTTATCTCGTAGACGAGGAAGTCCCCGCTCTTTCTCTCCCTCTAGTTTTACGTCGTTCTTTTTTATACAACTCTTAATTTGTCCATATCTCTGAAACTCTGGTTACATCTATCTATCTATCTATCTATCTATCTATCTATCTATCTATCTATCTATCTATCTATCTATCTATCTATCTATGTTCTTTCCTTGTAACTTTGCAAATATCTATCTTATCTGTTTTCAAATCGTCCACTCTCACTTTTTTATCTCAGTATGTCACTATCTCTCTCTCTTTCTCTCTCTCTCTCTATATATATATATATATATATATATATATATTTACACCACTCGTTTTATAGCTATCTGAAATTGGTAATATCTCTTAAAATCTTGTGACATCTATCGATCTATGTATCTATCTATCAATCTCTATGTCAACCAAATCATACCATTCGTATTGCCTCATGAGATGCAATTTGCGCGCAAAATTCTTCCTACAAACGGTTGCTTTGTGGAACCGACTCACAACAGGATATTTCCCTGATCACTACAATCTTAATCTTCCAAGTTGGGAAATTTTCAAATCGACATGAAGTAGAGTGTAGAGGGGCGTATATAATTTTTCGTGTGAGTGCCGAAACCCTAGCACCGATCCTTCTTTGCCTTCTTTGTAAATCCTTAAGCCGTATCAATCCGGGGAAAACTGTTGGTGTTCCTGATTAATTAGAGGTAATCCTTTTCATTTTTTCCATAAGAGGAAAAAAGTGATCAAAAGTTGTTATAAAACGAAGCAAACAATCTTGTTCAAATATTTCAAATGAAAAATAACTTCTTCGTTACAATATTCTGTTTACAATCATTTACAATAGATAATCTTTGAATGATCTATCTATCTTTTTCTTCATATCTATCAGTCTCATCATTATCTATCTATCTATCTATCTATCTCTACACAACTATCTATCTATCTATCTATCTATCTATCTATCTATCTATCTATCTATCTATCCGTGCCTGTTCATATCTATCTATCTATCTATCTATCTATCTATCTATCTATCTATCTATCTATCTATCTCTGCACAACTATTTACCTGCCTATCTGTTTATCTATCTATCTCAATCTGTTCATTATCTATCTATCTATCTATCTATCTATCTATCTATCCGTTTCTTCATATCTATCATCATTATCTATCTTTCAGTCTCTTAATATCTATCTATCTTTCTTTACACAACTATCTATCTATCTATCTATCTATCTATCTATCTATCTATCTATCTATCTATCTATCTATCTCTACACATCTATCTATCTCTACACAACTATTTACCTACCTATCTGTTTATCTATCTATCTCAATCTGTTCATTATCTATCTATCTATCTATCTATCTATCTATCTATCCGTTTTTTCATATCTATCAGTCTCATCATTATCTATCTATCTATCTATCTATCAGTCTCATCATTATCTATCTATCTATCTTTCAGTCTCTTCATATCTATCTATCTATCTATCTATCTATCTATCTCTACACAACTATTTACCTACCTATCTGTTTATCTATCTATTCAATCTGTTCATTATCTATCTATCTATCTATCTATCTATCCGTTTTTTCATATCTATCAGTCTCATCATTATCTATCTATCTATCTTTCAGTCTCTTCATATCTATCTATCTATCTATCTATCTATCTATCTATCTATCTCTCTATCCGTTTTTTCATATCTATCAGTCTCATCATTATCTATCTATCTATCTTTCAGTCTCTTCATATCTATCTATCTATCTATCTATCTATCTATCTATCTATCTATCTATCAGTCTCTTCATATCTATCTATCTATCTATCTATCTATCTCTCTATCCGATTTTTCATATCTATCAGTCTCATCATTATCTATCTATCTATCTTTCAGTCTCTTCATATTTATCTATCTATCTATCTATCTATCTTTCAGTCTCTTCATATCTATCTATCTATCTATCTATCTATCTATCTATCTATCTATCTATCTATCAGTCTCTTATCTATCTCTCTATCCGTTTTTTCATATCTATCAGTCTCATCATTCCACAATTTCTTTTTAGAAATGGAAGTTTCTTTTTACAGAATTGTTCACCCACTACTTAGGCCTGAATCTACTCGATGTAGATATCTATCTATCTATCTACTTCTTGTCTCTTGACATCTATGCATTTATATATCTGGTTCAGCTTCTTCACATCTATCTATAAATCTATTTCAGTCATATGTCTATTATAGCAATGTACACACCGACTGCACAAATCAAGTAAGAAGACATTGAATCTTACTACTCCATGCTGGACAGTGCCAAAGCTCTATGCAAATCACCGGAAGTCATCATCATCATAATTATCATGGGAGACCTAAACGCCAAAATAGGCAGTGAAAAGGCAAGGGACCCGCAACGAACGCGAAGAAAAATAGATCCAGTCGTGCGCAGCCAATGACCAGGTAATAGCCAACAAATGGTTCCAAGAAAAAACGAGATGACTATGCATATGGAGGAATCCAGGAGGAGAAACGTGTGATTCGTCATTTACTAATTTACTGTATACCCTGACGATTGAAGAAAAGATATCATAAAAACGATTTTATAAAAAAAAATCACTTAAGACGATCTAAAAAAAATATTAATGATTATATTCCTGATGCAATCAGTCGAATTATAAAAATGCATAAAAGCTGACAACTGCTTTAGATAGATGTGAAAAATCAAGTTTTTCAAATATCAATGAATTCACTTGGCTTGTGCGTCAACTTAAATGTGTCGAAAAATAAGTAAGTTATTCTAAATAAGCAGAAAAAAAAACGATACGTCTTTTCTTCCAACATTAAGGCAAATGATTGGAATGTCGAACTGAACCGTTTATTTCTCTCACTTGGGTAGACTGTTCTAGTTCCACGTGTCATATTTAATGGATGTCAGCTATCAGTTATCTCCTATTAATTCCCCTCTGCAAGTTCTCCACTTTGGGTCCTGTCACTGGATCAGAACCGACGCTTTTATCTACTGTGCCATATGTCCTTGTGGATAAGGGTTCAGTTCAATATTCCAACCACCTGAAGAAGGCCGGAGCGTACAACGATCGAAACGTTGTAATAAATATGGCGACAAAGATGCGGATAATAGTTCAAATAATGTAAATAGTATCACCTAAAACATTCTAAAAAAAATATTACTGACCCTAATGTCAAACCTTTGCATTTGGAATGGGTACCGTGTCTATTTTACTTGTCTATGTAATATATTTTTCCTGAAAATTGAAAAAGTGAAAGAAAGCACTTCTCACGTACGGAAGTATAGTGTCGATCATTATATACAGAGAGAACTTCCCAGTCTAAACTGCGTTGTCATTACAGACACCCTTACCAAGTTGTAACAATACGTAATTGCATTCATCGTAAAAAAAATACAAAAATATAAATAAATCTAGTTCTAATAAAGAAATTTTATGAAAATAGTAATTTATTATTACGTTGAAATTTGTTCCACATTAAATTTTGTTTTTTAAATTTACTACTACTTTGTGAGAAATTTTACGTCATTTGTGTTAATAAAAAACATGCATCTCAAATCCACTAGACCACTTACATCTACTCTTTGAAATAGTGTAGGATATTAAGATCTTGAATTGATAAAAAGAGAAAAAAATATTATTAACCCTGATATCAAATATAAAATAACCAACAAAAATAAAAATTTGTCTTCATACAAGCCGATGAGGACTTCGGTGATGATTTAAACATTCACCTCTATTTTTTATTTGCTTTTTCGTTTAAAAAACAACAATTTATATCTTCATAAAAACCCAAATATAGAACGATTCCTTTTGGAATGGAAATCGTGTGCTTCCTCATGTACTAATTTACTCTTTACCCTGACGATTGAAGAAACGAAATCATAAAAACGATTGCGTACACATTTATAGAAAAATCACCTAAGACGATATAAAAATATATTACTGACCCTATTGCCGAACCTTTGGCTTTGGGTTGTGGGAACGTGTGTATTTTACTTGTCTATGTAATATATTTTTCCATGGCGATTGAAACAAACAAATTCTTACAATTGATGGATCACAACATTTTAAAGCAATATTAGTAAAAAGCGCAATTAGTTAAAGTTCGAAGGCAAAACTTAAGTAATTATTACTTTTTCATTAATATTTAATAAATAATATTTGCTAAAGTTTAGTTAAATTTAAGATTTAATAAAAGTTTTTTTTTCTTTTACCTTAATAATGATTAAAACAATAAAATATTCACTTACTTGCAGTGAAGAAAATAAGTTGATTCACAAAAACAATGTCCGTACTTTCTTAAAGCAGAAAGACCAATGATTGCCAAGCACACATATCTCCTCTCACTGCAACATAAGCTGCAATAATTTCGCTTGGACTGTGCGTCAATTTAAATGTGTCGAAATATATGTAAGTTATTCTAAATAATCTGAAAAAAAGAACAATAAACCATACTACTTTTTTCACCAGGAAGGCAAATGATTTCATGCACATACACATAAAGCTAAGTTGAATTACCAGAAGTGGGCTTGCAACCTATATATATATATATATATATTTAAAACTTCGAAGGGAAATCCTAAGCGGTATTGAATGAATTGAGTATTTATATTTTCATAATATATATTTATAAAAGAAGGAATCTATTAAATTGCAATTAGAATGATACGGGAATTCGCACATAATATTCACGGGTTACCTTCTCCTAATTTCCGAAACTGCTCCTAGGAGACGTTCTCAGGGCGATAAATACTTTTAATAATTTTTTATCACTCATATTTAAGATTGTTTGCTTTTCAGACAATTGTTTTAGTAATAAAATTGGAAAAATTAGAATATCATTTGCGACTTATCAGTTACTCAAATCCAATGTAAGAGGACATCTTCATAACTACAAGACAAGTTTAAAAAATTCTATGTCTGAGAAGAATTTAGAATCATACATGTTGTTATTCATTGAAAAGTAATTGTTAGTTAGTTGCAGAATCAATTAGTGACAGATTCGAACAATCATCTAGTGAGCACAAACGATTCATTTTAATATAGTGAACTTCATGCAATGCTCTGTTGGGCATTTGAACTGTTAATGTGTCAATTATGGCAAGTGAGCCAATGATGTAGTGGGCACCCGATATCAAATAAAATTGCAACAAGGAAATAAATAAAGGTATTTGTTGTACTAAGATTGGGTAACTTGGCATGTAATCTGCTCCTCATCAGTTACTCATGTCCAATATGAGAGGACATTTTCATGCCTAAAGATTATGAAAACAAGGAGAACTATTATGGCATGTGGCCACTGATGGAATGGTCTCGCGATATCGGATAAGGGTACAACAAGGAAACAACCACAGGTAATTGTTTTACTCAGATTGGGTAACTTAGCATGTTATCTGCACCTTATCAGTTACTCATGTCCCATGTGAGAGGACATTTTCATACGTAAAAATTTTGAAGACAAGTTAAAGAAAGGCGTTGTCTGAGAAGAATTTGGAATCATGCACGTTGTTTTCATTAAAAAGTAATGTGGGCAGATTCGAACCATCATCTAGTGAGCACAAATTCTTCATTTTAATATAATGGCCTTTATGCAATGCTTTTTTGCGCATTTGAACAGTTAATTTATCAATGATGGCAAGTGGGCCCCTCATGGACTGCTCCCCTGATATCTCTATCTATAAAAGGTAGGATGTCTGTGTGTGTGTGATTGCGCGTGTGTGTGTGTAACGAATGCACGGCCGCAATTTTCGACGAATTTGCACCAAAATTTAAATGCACATGCTCCAAGTTAGCGGGAAGTCCAACACCGAGTTTGCATTTCCCAACTCCTATCGATAGTGGAAATAATCGATTTTTCATGCTTCTACGGCAGTTTTCATGTAGTTTGCGACCATTTTCCACTGGCCAGAGTGATAGCCTATATCTGGCTGCCACGAATAGGCATGAAGATTCTATTGGCCAGCGTGAGAGCCAACAGCTGACTGACACGAATGTTAACTAGCATGCTAGCATGAAAAAAAAATCGATAGCTGCATTCGTCACAAGTGGGAAAAAATTAAATCTGCATGGTACTTTACTCCAATTTACTCATTCGCTTGCTTAAACTCAACGTTGATTCTGATTCCGCAGAACTGGGTTGGGTGTGAAAAAGTATTTGTTGTTAACATTCTTTTTTCATTTGGTTTTTCCAGTTACAAGTCCTTTTAAAAAGCTGATTGTTTTGTGTTCATTTTGTTTAGTTCTTTTTTCGTAACAGATTTAATGTTTAGTATAGAGCTTAGAAAAAAATCGTAGTGTGAGATAGGCAAGAAGTAAGGCGTGTAGCAACATCATCACGGCAAAGGGTACTCGTTTAAATGCAAGGAAGGGCAAAAATATTTTAAGACAAGTGATAGCGATTGCGGTATGAGTCGTGCAATTTTTTAATCAAGCACGGGCAACGCCGGGCCATGCTGCTAGTCGGATATAAGTGCAACAATGAAACAGAGACAATTCTATTACTAAGATTGGGTAACTTAGAATGTTATCTGCACCTTATCAGTTATTTATGTTCAATGTTAGAGGACATTTTCATACATAAGAATTATGAAGACAAAGTGAAGAAATTCGATGTCCGAGGAGAATTTGGAATCATACATGTTATTATTTATTGAAAAGTAATTCTTAGTTTGTTGCAGAATGAATTATTAGCAGATTCGAACAATCATCTAGTGAACACAAACGATTCATCTTAATATAGTGGACTTCATGCAATGCTCTGTTGGGCATTTGAACTGCTAATGTGTCAATTATAGCAAGTGGGCCCCTGATATAGTGGGCACTCGATATCAGATAAAAGTGCAACAAGGAAATAAATACAGGTATTTGTTGTACTAAGATTGGGTAACTTAGCATGTCATCTGTTCCTCATCTGTTACTCATGTCCAATATCAGAGGACATTTTCATACCTAAAGATTATGAAAATAAGGTTAGTTTGTTGCAGAATGAATTATTTGCAGATTCGAAGAATCATGTAGTGAGCACAAACGATTCATCTTAATATGGTGCACTTCATGCAATGCTCTGGTGCGCATTTTAACTGTTACTGTGTCAATTATGCAGTACACTATTTAAAAATGCCAACCAATTAATTAATATTAAAAAATAATAGCTTAAATATTCA